ATGAGCTGTTTCTACTACCTGTATTCTTCCTCTGGATAGCCACTTGGCTCACTTCTTCACTGCCTTCTTGTCTTCGTTTAAATGTCACCTCATCACTGAAGGTGCCCTGACTGCACCACTGAATGCTGCAAAATGCCCCATTCTCTTGGCTCTTCCAAGACCCTTTACCATGATTTACTTTTTTTGTTCTCCATAGAGCTTCTGCTTTTTACTAACTTTATCACTTATTATTGTCTGTCTCCTACTAGAGTGTAGTCTTTGTCTTTTTTGTTTACCGTTCTCTTGAGTTTATCCTGCTTGGAGTTTGTTAAGTTTCTAGTCTTTCATCAAAATTGGGGATGTTTTCAGCCATTATTTCTTTAAGTATTCTTTCAGCCTTCTCTTTTTCTTCTCCCATTGGGACCTCTATTAGGCATGTGTTGGTATGTTTTGTGATGCCCACAGTTCTCTTAGGCTCTGTTCATATTTCTTCATTCTTTTCTTTTTCTACTCTTCAGATTGGATTGTCTCAGCCAACCTAATTTCAATTCTCAATTAACCTGAGAAAGATAATATTATCTCTGCCTGCTCGGTTCTGCTGTTGAGCCCCCTCTAGTGAATTTTTCATTTCTTAGTTTGCTCACATAAAGGGCAGGGCTCGGAGACATGCTGATAATGCTCTAACTTTTTGAATGTTACAGTAGGTTCAGAAGTACACTCTGAGATTTTTAAGAGCTTTGTTGCTTATTATGGGCTTCCCTGATAACTCACTTGGTAAAGAATCTGCCTGCAATGCGGGAGACCCTGGTTCGATTCCTGGGTCGGGAAGATCCCATGGAGAAGGGATAGGCTACCCACTCCAGTACTGTTGGGCTTCCCTTGTGGCTCAGCTGGTAAAGAATCTGCCTCCAATGCGGGAGACCTGGGTTCAATTCCTGGGTTGGGAATCCCCTGGAGAAAGGAAAGGCTACTCACTCCAGTATTCTGGCCTGGAGAATTCCATGGACTGTATAGTCCATGTGGTCACAGAGAGTCGGACACAACTGAGTGGCTTTCACTTTCACTTCTTATAGTGATGTAGCAATTTCTTTATGTAAATCTTATGAATCTACTTTCTTCTCACCTCTTTGAGAAGATTTCATTCCATTTGGGCATCACCTGAAAGCTATTAATCTGTTTGGAAACATACCACAAGCTTATCTAAAACTAATAATTTTTAGTTTTTCAAAGTACACTAAGATGGTAAAAAATAAATATTAAAGATAGGATTAAAGTCATAAGGTTTGAGACAGGGTCTGTGTGGTTTTATTTTCCTTGTGGTACTTTGCATGTAGTAGATAATTCTTTAAATACTAAATTGATGGTAAAAAACTACAGTAAAAACTAATTTAAAAACTGCAAATAGCAGTAGCTTAGGATACAGAATTTCAAGGGACACTGTCTTTTGGAGATGAAACTTTTCTTTTTCAGTTATTTTTCTGATAATATTTTATGTATTTTTTATATTGAGATGAAAACAAAGTTCAAAGTGTATACTATCACCCCTCTTTTAATCTCTAAATCTCTTATTCACTTTCTAAATTTTTATAAACTAACCAAAAAAACAGAGTAGGAAATGTTCATGGAGACAGATGAACTGGTTTTTTTTTAATTTGTTTTTTTTTTTTCATTTATTTTTATTAGTTGGAGGCTAATTACTTTACAGTATTGTAGTGGTTTTTGCCATACATTCACATGAATCAGCCATGGATTTACATGTGTTCCCCATCCTGAACCCCCCTCACACCTCTCTCCCTATCCCTTCCCTCTGGGTCATCCCAGTGCACCAGCCCCGAGCGCTTGTCTCATGCATCCAACCTGGACTGGCGATCTCTTTCACACTTGATAATATGATGAACTTTTATTGCTGATCAAGGATTAGTCATTTAAATACTTAATTATACTGATCCAAAGGCATTAAAACAAGATAAATTATTTTATGACATTATCTTAAGAGATAAATGTTTACATAGAAAAACTAACATTCAAGGAATGTCAGAATTATCTAAAACAACTGAATGAAAGCCTTATGAACTGTGTCAGAATTATCTAAAACAACTGAATGAAAGCCTTATGAATTATTATTAAAGAGTATTAGTGTATTTTCTACTAATGCAGTTTCTTCCTCCATATCTTGCCTAGCCCTCCCCACCCCCACTGCACCTGTGTGTAATATAATGCGTTTTTTGGTCTTCTGTATTCCCTATAAATTGATAGGTATAAAGACTTGGTCTAATTAAAAAAAAAAAAAGACTTGGTCTAATTCAGAGTCAGTTTTTCACTCTTTTCTTTTTTTCTCTCTCTTTTTTAATTTAAGGAGAGGCTGGCAGTGTGCATAAGGTGTCAGGTCTAGTTGTTTTACTTTTCATGATGTTAGCAGTCTGATAATGATGCTGATATCCATTAATTTCATTACATGTTGCAAAATATTGGTGATATTGATATAGTTTTGTCATTTATTCATTTATTAGCTTAGTTTTAAAAATGGTATATTTACCAACATGTATGTGTGGGCTTCCCTGATGGCTGTGTGGTAAAGAATCCTCCTGCCAATGCAGGAGACACGGGTTCAATCCCTGGGTCTGGAAGATCCCCTGGAGAAGGTAATGGCAACCCCCTCTAATGTTCTTGCCTGGGAAATTCCATGAACAGAGGAGCCTGATGGGCTACAGTCAACAGGGTCACAAGAGTTGGACATGACTTAGCAACTAAACAATAACAATACATGTATGTGTGTGTTTGGATAAAGATTAACATAAGGAAGTTTTGCTTTCAGTGAATGTTTGCATTGCGATCATTGCTTGGAAAAATTCATTTGTCCTTTTAGAGCTTCCTGTTGAATAATTAAAGTAAACCTAGAATATTATGATTTGGGGGCTTCCCAGGTGGCACTAGTGGTAAAGAATTCACCTGCCAATGCAGGAGGGCATAAGAGACACAGGTTCAATCCCTGGGTCAGGAAGATCCCCTGCAGAAGGAAATGGCAACCCATTCCAGTATGCTTGCCTGGAGAATCCCATGGACAGAGGAACTTGGCAGGCTACAGTCCATAGTGTTGCGTAGAGTCAGACACAACTGAAGTGACTTAGCACTTATGCATTATTTTATTTTGCTCTTGAAGAAGTTGAATGTCTAAGCTAATTTGTTAATGTGTTTGTCATTCCTTGTCTTAACAAATTTTCTGAAGAATGTGTCAGAGTTGGAATTATTATTAGACTGAGAAACATACAAGAATTTTTTTATGTGCTTTTGAGTTTATAGCCCTCACAGCCTGTCTCAGTCATGGTGATAAACTAAGTAAAGCTCTTTGATTAGGCTCCCAGGCAAAGCTCTGTATTTGTGTTCACAGGCAAATTTTTTTCTAAACCTCATGAAATAGTTAATACCTTTTTTTAAGCACAATACTTTTAACAAGGGGAGAGCCATAAAATAAGATTTTAGACACATTTCAGATAAACTCTTTGTGAGTCACGTTTCCCTGGACTCTGCTGTCCTTGCTGCAGCTGAGGGACAAGGTGGGCAGAGTGCTCTCTGTGCCACCAGCTCCCTGAAAAGTCAGTGAAGAAATCCGGATGTCAGAGCCCTAGGTATAATCAGTTTCCTGGGTTTAATAGCCAGCTGGTTTTTACGTAGTTTTGTGTGAACTTTTGGGTATGAGTTAACGTCTTTTTTAAATAATAAAGTTGGGAAATAATCCAACCTTCCCTTACAGCAGAGTTCCCCCCCGCCCATCTTTTTGAGGTATGGTTGATGTATAATATTGTGTGTCTTAGATGTACAGCATAGTGATTCACAATCTTAAAAGACTGTTCCATATATTTACCATAAAATATTGGCTATATCCCCTGTGTTGTAGAATGTATCTTCATAGCTTATATATTCATAGTAGTTTGTACTCTTAATCTTCTACCCTTGTCTTGCCTTTTCCCCCAAATTCACCTTTATAGACAGTTTTCATAAATTTGGCTCTACTTCATTTGAAGTTTGAATTTACTGTTCATTGGAGTTTGAGGCAAGAGGACAGTTTCAGCATGGAATTATAGGTTTGAGTTGGTCTGTATGTAATAACTGTTTTCATTCACAAGATCCTTTTTTTAACTTTCTATTGAAATGTAAGATATGAATAGTCTCTTTTTTAAGTTTTTATTGAAGTATAATATACATCTAAAAACATGCACATAATTAGCCTACAGCTTGGTGAATTTTCACAACTGAACACGCCTGTGTAACCAGACCTAGTTCATCATCAGCACCAGCCTTTCAGAATCTCCCTTATACTCTCTTCCAGTTACTATACCCATCAGCCTGCCCCTCAGAAGTAACCACTCTAACAGGATAGTCTTTCAGAGAGGCGATCAGATACTTCATTTGTCAGGGTTGTCCTCTTTTCTCTATTTGCTACAAATATGAAGAGGATAAGAAAAGAACTTCTCTTTCTTATTAACACAAAAATAATTACTGAAGATAACAAAAATCAGAATTTTTTCATACTGAGTCCTATTTACCAATGTAATATTCCATCAGAGTAATAACTGGAAGATTTAAATCATTTGGAATCATGTTGGAGTCTCTATAAGTGACATTTGTCTTCTGAAACAAGACCCAGAGTAAGCAGGAGTTATGAGTGGATGCAGAGCAGTGTTTGCCCCCACCCCCTTCCACCATGGCTGTTTCCCACCCTTGTGTCTTCCCACCCCATGGCTGTTTCCCACCATTCCTTGTGTCTCCTTGTGGGAGACACAAGGAATGATAGATGCTGGGATGCAGAGCTGCAGTTGAGGGATCACCTGATACTTTCCTTTCTTTGCTTACAGTCTCTGAACATTGACGATAGATTTCTAATATCAATATTAGAATTCTTTTGGAGATTTTTAATTCTGCAACTTCTGTGTTGAATATAACTCTGTTGTTTCCCATAGCTTTCACAAAATTGATTATAGTTGTTCCATCTTGATTTAAAATATGTCTCTGTTTCTCATCAGGACCCCTGAACAGTGCCCCAGCGTTGTTTCATTGTTGTCAGAGAGTTACAATCCTCATGTTCGTTATGGAGCTGCCATGGCCCTGGGCATCTGCTGTGCTGGTACAGGAAACAAGGTAAAGCCCAAACCAGGCAGGCAGCTCTTTCCTGGCGCCAGACTGTTTTCCCTAGCAGAAAAGTTTATGTAACAGCTGTAAAAATACAAGCGTGCTGTGATCTGTACTTGCCTTGCAAGCTAAGCTTCCCCGAACTCCCCCACTTTACTGTGCCGGATTGCTGAAAGCTGTTAAGAACAAACCACATTACATGGGTGGCTCTAGTAGAAACAATGCTGTTGAATTTTTTGAAAAGCACTGAAATCTTTAAAAAGAAGGAAAAATATTTTTCTCTTTGAAGAACTGCTCTGGCCATTTTACATTGTTATTTCACATGTTTAATTTGCATAATTAGTATTGTGGAAATCAAAGTTCTTGAGACCACCATGGTCAATTCAGTTTGATTTTTCGTGTGTGTGTTTTAACCTTATACCTAACTGCTGTTTGTCTGTTTTTCCCTCAAGAGCATAATAGGTAACCTGGTATTTGTTAAGCCCTCAAAAGTGACAGAAAGAGTTGGGCTAGGCACATTGATGATTCGAAAACAGTTTGTCATGAGATTCATAAAGAAATGCAGTAGTATTTTAATAACAGGTATTCTTGATCAACAGCAATGACATAATCACCACATTTTGCCTCTCATAGCACACATGAACACATCTTGACTAGTTCCTCAAAAGGTATACTTTTTCTTTTAACAGTGTACAAGCGTGTGTCTGTGTGTGAAAGAGAGAACAAGAAAATGGTTATATCCCCAGAGTCTTTACATCAGAATGGAGCCATGTCTTAGAAATCATTTCTTATCCAAACTAAAGTAAAGCATAATTTTTAGTTTGTTGATTGATTCCAGGGATTAGATTTTAACTTGCTTGACTTTTTCTGTAATAAGGAGGGTTAGTATTAGATACAAACAATTTTTCCTAGTCACATAAAACATTCTTGAAGCTAGAAATTAAAATAGGCATTTTCACTGTGTGGCAAGAATTGTATAAAAATTCATAAAGAGACATGCCCTTCCAGTATTCCCATTCTGTCTCCTTACCCTGCCTTATTTTTCTTCAGAGCACTTAGCGCCACCTGACATATTTTATGACTTAATTGAGCAAAAGAGTTCTTGGTTAAATACAATGAACAAATGCTGGGATATACAAAGCTCTAGTGGTTTCTTTCTCTTTTTTTTTTCTGACTTTTTATTTTATTTTGACCTATTTATTTATTGTCTGTCTCCTCTCCACTGAAATGTAGGGTCCCTGAGAACCAAATATTCACTGCTAAAACCTAAAGTCAGACTTGACACATAGTAGAGTTTCAGTAAATATTTGTCAGTTGAATGATAGAGGGAAGATCATTTTAAGGATATGATGAGGAGCAAGTTGGACATGCTCTCTGCCCTCACAGTTTTGTTTTTTAAATGTTTTCATTTTTTTGGAGAATTTCTGACATGAGAATGTATCGTCAATTTTATTAGAAAAGTCATTGTGTGTATAAAATACAGTTTATAGAAATTGGCCTTCATTTTTTTCCGGACACATCTGTTCTATAAATAAAGGAAAAATATAGTTGAATGTTTTGCAAAGTATTTTCTCCCTCAGGTCTTTAGTAGACATTTATGTCAGACCTCATAAGTTAAATGTAAATTAGATTTTTTTTCTTTCCAGATTATTCTGAACTTAATATGGTATCTAGGAACAAATGTTCTTTGAAACACAGCATCTGACAAGTTAATTCAATGAACATTTTTCATTACTCTTACTAAACAAGTCTGCTTTATTTCTAGATAGTTTGTATGATCTACTTACGAATATCTGTCTGAAGTTTGGCACTTTAATTTTGTTTCTGAAAAACCTGAAACAACCTGTTTATTCTAAAATATGTCTTTGAGGTTATATCACATACTTTAAAGGTCAAGTTAGTATCTTCTAACTTATAAGTTGGAAATTTTGTTAGATTTTTATCATGACTACTTCATAAACAATATTAACAATATATGAATAATATTTGAAAAACTTATTCTTCTAAACAACAGCAGTACATTTTACAGGGAAGTGAGAAAGAATGCACTTATGTGATGTTTGTTTTACCTGTTAATCACTCTTGATTTTTTTTAAATAAATAAATTGACGTGTAAGGAAATCTAAAATCATTACTCCCCACCCCCAAAAAAGGATTCAATTCATTTACCCAGCTTTGAAACAAAGGACATTTGAGAAATGATATACTGTATTAAAATAAGTTTGATAATCATATAAACTCATTCCTCTGTTCCTCCAGGTTTATACTTACCTAAGGACCTTGTAAGAGGTGCTAAACAAAGCTCCTGCAGAGTGTTTAATAGAGCAGAAGAGTTCTTGGTCAAATATACAAAGCTCTAGTGGTTTCTTTCTCTTTTTCTTTTGTTTTTTTTTTTTCACTTTTTATTTTATATTGGAGTACAGCCAGTTAACAATGTTGTGATAATTTCAGGTGGACAGAAAAGGAACTCAGCCATAAATATACATGTATCCAAACTCCCCTCCCATCCAGGCTGCCATATAACATTGAACAGAGTTCCCTGTGCTAAGGAGTAGGACCTTGTTGGTTATTCATTTTAAATATGCAGTGTGTGCATGTCGATTTCAAACTCCCTAACTATTCCTTCCCCCTACACTTCTCCCCTGGCAACCATAAGTTCGTTCTCTAAATCTGTGAGTCTGTTTACTAGTGGTTCATTTAATTAGGTTTCTTAAACCTTTTGTTATGATATATACATTCCTGGAGCCCTTGATGCAAGAGAGGGTAATATATAGTATGCTGGAGTTCCCAAACTTATTTAATCAAGGAATCCTGTTTTCATAGAACTGATATTCTGAAGAATTTAATATTGGGAAAATCCTGGTAAACATTTTGGAAAATTCCACCATATATAGTTTTCAAAGTGTAACCATGGAATCAGTTCATTTGATTTAGTTTGTGTTGCCATTCTACTAGCAAGTAAAATCTTGTTTTCAGAATTCTGTTGTTTTTTGTTTGTTTCAATTTGGATTTGATTTATTTAATTTTTTAAATTAGGTTTTGTAAAATCATCTTAAGATATTATCTTACTCTAGTATTTGAAAGAAGTTGGATACAGAGTCAAACTGGCCTGAGTTTGCTACACTTAGGTGATTTTTGGCAATTTACCTTAAACTGTTTCTTTGTTTATAAAAATTGTTTTCTATTGCTCTTGTTGTTTTAGTGGAAGGTATTTTATATATTTAGGATGAATATACCCTCTTCATCCTGAATATGTAATAAATATATAAAATACCTTCCACTGCACCTGGAAAATAATATTGTTTATCAAACATTAATCTCACTTTTTCTTAATTTCTTCTTGACCTCTTTTACCCGAAGACAGGAGCACTTGTGTTCTCTAAGCTTCCTTTTCACTTACCATCAGTTATATTGAAACTTAAAGCATGCTCATTTCTGACCGTTTCATCCAAGTAGTCTTAAATTAACTTGTGAATACAATGTTAGATGGAAATATTGTGTTAGAAAGACAGTAACTAATTTGAAAATTTAGCTACATGAACTTTATTAAAAGGGTTTTTTTATGCTTTCAGGAAGCAATTAATTTGCTCGAACCAATGACAAATGACCCTGTGAACTATGTGAGGCAAGGAGCTCTCATAGCTTCAGCTCTCATCATGATCCAGCAGACTGAAATCACTTGTCCAAAGGTGAGCAGACAAAAATATTCTCTAGGAGAGAACTGGTTCAGACTTTTCTTTAGAAGCTTATCTTCTCTTGAGTACATTTTTACCTTAGATATTGTGAACACTAAATGCATAGGAAGTAAAGAAGTAGGAGAATGGGAAAGCTTTAAGTATATAATATTGTTTGAATGCATTTTTTTATACATTTATGGTCACTTTGTTAATTCAGCTACATAGCCATACGTCAAAAATTAGAACTCATGGATTGCAAAATCATAAAAATCAACTTTAATTTCTGCCTTCTGCTGTCCTTTTAAAATTTGTTCAGTGGGATGGTGTGTTCCTCTAATACATGACACAGACTCAATGGTCCATGACTTTTTTGATCTGTCCTCTGAGGCAATAAAAAGTTCTGCAGTCACTTTATATAGTGTATACAGTCTCAGTTTAGAAAGGAGCTCATCCAGATTCTCCGTGGGAATGTCATTGCCCTCAATGGAGAGGCCTTGGGCGGGGTTTCAGGTGGCTCCAGGAAGACTCTCTTTCTTTATCCACAAAAAACCTCTTGCATATTTTGCCCTTTCTGCAGGTCGGATTGTAATAGGTTTTCAGTGCAACTTTTTTTTGCCTCTTCCTCTCTCTCCCTCCTTCCCTTTCTTCTCCCTCCCTCTTGGATTGCTTGTGCCTCAGTCAATAGCAGATGCCTCTTACTTCATGTGTCAGATGTCAGTGCACAGTGACCACTGATCATTAAGCCCACCGCGTGGTCTCTCTGAAGCCCATTTCTAGGCTTGGAGTTAGGAGGAAAGACTTAAAGCCTAGCTTTCCCCATTCAAGTCCTTTTCACATATCCTTCTATCATCTAGTCCCCACACACACCGTGTGGATGACTCCATAACATATTTTGAGGCATCTATTTTAAAATCTCATGGGGTCTCCTCTCAGACCTCATTTCAGACTTTTGGTCTGATGTATCTTGGCACCTCAACCAGAACTTCTCATTTTATTGAGAAACAGACAATGCATAGGTCTTATTTACATATACTTAAAAATACCATGTTTGACATAATGTAATAGATGTATATAGTTAATGCAGTAATTTCAGATCTTTTAATTCTTAATTTAAACTTGGGGCATTTAACAAGCTTGTAGTATTTCTGCTTCTGTATGAGAAGCAGTCAAAGAGATTGACAACAGAAAATGCCATTGGTATACTGTCTTTGGGCTCATCAAGATTTATTTTCAGGAAAGCAGATAGACTGGGAGGGGGGCAAGGGAGGGTGAAGGAGAAAAATAATTTTAGAATTCACTGATTATTCTGTGAAACTTTGTTTAATAAATTTCAGTTTCTAAGCAGTTGCTATCATTTTTGTCACTGGTTTGTTTTTTTTTTAATCCAGTTCTCTTTCAAAATCACAAGACTTCTAAAAATTGGATTATTGCAGAAATAGAATCAAACTTCACATCCTGTTTTAGTAATATATTACTTAATGTATTATATCTTCTAGAATATAAACATCTTTTCAAACAGACCACATTTCTTTTTCGGTTTTATTTTTAAATATAGCAGTTATAATATGAGTAGCTTTTGCATCCTTTATGTCTGCTTTTGATCATCTGTTGATCTTTGTTAGTTAGAAGTTATCCAACTGAGTAATGTCATTAAAGAAGGAAATTTGGTCATGGAATGCATCTCCCCTCACAGTAATATACAGATACTTACTCACTTTGACCTGTTGTTTTCATGTTGTATGTATTATGAACATGACAAATGTTTTACCATCTTCCCACCCTCTGCTGTCAGTTCAGTTCAGTTCAGTCGCTCAGTCATGTCCAACTCTTTGTGACCCCATGAACTGCAGCACGCCAGGCGTTCCTGTCCATCACCAACTCCCGGAGTCTACCCAAACCTATGTCCATCGAGTCAGTGATGCCATCCAACCATCTCATTTTCTGTCGTCCCCTTCTCCTCCTGCCCTCAATCTTTCCCAGCATCAGGGTCTTTTCAAATGAGTCAGCTCTCCATATCAGGTGGACAAAGTATTGGAGTTTCAGCTTCAACATCAGTCCTTCCAGTGAACACCCAGGACTGATCTCCTTTAGGATGGACTGGTTGGATCTCCTTGCAATCCAAGGGACTCTCAAGAGTCTTCTCCAACACCACAGTTCAAAAGCATCAATTCTTAGGCGCTCAGCTTTCTTTGTAGTCCAATTCTCACATCCATACATGACTACTGGAAAAACCATAGGCTTGACTTGACAGACCTTTGTTGGCAAAGTAATGTCTCTACTTTTTAATATGCTGTCTAGGTTGGTCATAACTTTCCAAGCAGTAAGCATCTTTTAATTTCATGGTTGCAGTCACCATCCGCAGTGATTTTGGAGCCCAGAAAAATAAAGTCAGCCATTGTTTCCACTGTTTCCCCATCTATTTGCCATGAAGTGATGGGTCCAGACACCATGATCTTAGTTTTCTCAAGGTTGAGCTTTAAGCCAACAGTTTCACTCTCCTCTTTCTGCTGTAGGATTTCATTGATTTGATTTTATAACCATAAATTGTGTACCAACAATGGCCAAGTACTTTGGAATGGGGGTGAGGTTAGGTTGCAGTAGGTTGCGTAGTTTCAAAAAGCCTTCAGCTATTTATTCTAATAAAGAAGTAAAACTTTTTCATATTTAGGAAAAGTTAAAAAGAATGCAGCAATTTGAATAATTATTATTTTGTAATCATTCATAAACATTTGTTGAACCAAGTCTTAGCTGATGTGAATATGTAGGACACACTTCCATCTTCACATTGTATCAGAATCTTTGGTATTGATTAAGAATGTTGATGTGTAGTTATACCTGGTAGCTTATACCATTAATATAAATTTCATAAGGGAAAGTTAAATGTGTACCCCAATGACAAAAAAGCAAAACTTTATACAACAAATGTTCTTTCTGGAAACACTATCCCTTAGAGTGAAATTGTTACTCAGTTCATAAATCCTTAAAGTTTAGGTTCTGTTTCATTGTTTTCTGCTCTGAAGCATATGATCAACAGCTTTGTAGACTATAGTTTATATCATCTCTCTTTTATCTGATGATTGCTAAGAAGACAACATGGATATTCTGGGAATTCCCTGGTGGTCCAATGGTTAGGACTCCACGCTTCCACTGCAGAGAAACTGGTCAGAGAACTAAGATCCTGCAAGCCTCACAGCAAGGCAAGAGAAGAAAAAAAAAAGATATTCTTTTAGGGTGGTATGTGTTATTGCTGAAAAGAAACGACTGTAAACAAGCTTGAAGAGAAGTAAGTTCTCGAGGCTACAGGGTCCTAGTCACAACCAGTCCATGAAATAAAGTGAAAATGCCTTGAAATCAAAGGTCACGTGTTAATTTAATCAAGACTATAACCCTTTCCTTGAAGGAATCCAAAAGAAATATTTCTGAGATATTTTGTGAGATTCTCAATGGAAATTTCCAAAGGAAATGTTTTTTATGTAATCATGATCTATATCACATCCTTTTATAGAATGCTGCCTTTACACTAAGCTATACATACACATTGTGGTCTTAGTTTAACTAACTCCAGTAGATCTTTGCTTTTCTTCTGCCGGTTTCTTACTCTCACAAACATAGGCCTAAGAACCTGCATACCCCTTTGGGTGATTACAGACCCAATTTAAAAAGCTGTTATACCAGAGGATCAGAACCATTTAACTAGAATAATGTTCTTTTATAGATCTTTGGAGTTATTTTGTCTCCAGAACCAAACTCTTTATGAAGAATCTATCTTCTGTTTTTCTTATTAAATGAACTCCACTGTTAGCAGTTACTTGAACATGTATATAGCATGTAACATACATAGAATCATATAAAAATATTGAAGTATAAGAATAGGATCTAGTGCTCATCCTTGTCTAATATCAAGCCTAAGACCTGCTATAAGGAAGCTTCTCCTACCACTGACGTACCCTTTTTGGAAGTAGGATCATATTTAGCCAAGTTTGATAAGCTTTTGCAGTTCTAAAATAAATCAGCATCAACTTTTATAAGGTTTATTTTACAGCATAACACATTTGTAAATATATATCTATATTACATACCATTTCCTTAAGTAAGAGGGGATTTGGACACTATAAGTGTTGGTGGTAATATAAAGAAAGGACACAGGCAACTAACGTGAACAAAATAATGCTAATAAAATTGAGGAGGGAGCTAGAAACATGATTTGGGATATTGGTAAGAGGAAATTATAGCACTGCCAGGAATATCTTGAAAAAGAAGAAAGATAATTTTCACTTTAGTCACATTAAGTTTGAGATTGTAGCAAGTCATTTGGAGATAAGATGAGAACATAGGAAATTAATCAGAACTAAAGAAAGAAATAGGAGCCAGCCCAGATAAATTATGTAAGTCCAGAGCCCTTTATCTGCAATTCCAAATTGCAGAAAACTCTAAAAACTAAGAATTTTCTTTGTTTTTAAGTCCTCATTTGGCTGTAAAATCTAACCTTGTATGAACACGTTTATAGCCTTTATCCCATTTAGTAAATATTCAGTCATTTTGCTGCTTCAGAAATATTAATTTGGTTAATTATGGGATACTACCCCCATACTCCACTGAGGTTATTACATAGTTAATGGTGTATGCACCATGTTAACTGTGAATTCTGAATTCCAAAATTCATTTGGCCTCAAGGATTTTGTGGAAGAAATTAAGAGACCTAGTTGAAGTCATAAGAGCTAATGTATTATTATAGAAAGATAAAAGGGGGCAAAAAAAACCCCTCTGAAACTGATCCCTGATGTACACTTTCATTTCTATATCCTGGAAAACTGAAGGAAAAAAAAAGAGACCGAGAGAAGAGAAATACCTAGGTGATAAGTAACAACAGAAAAGATTCAATGGAATTTTATTCCCTTCTTCCCCTACCTTTATTTTTCTCTCTGGCATACAAGCATGGGTTGTTTTTTTTCCCCCAACAGCATAAGGTGTATAGAATTAAAAACATGATGAATGTTTAAAATGTAGGAATTTGGAGAAGGTAGACTTTAATCAAGCACAGCAGAAAGCATGGATCACAGCATTGTCTGAAATTTAATTATCTTTTCTTTGAGATTATCATGATATAAAATGGGAAATTAATATGACTTTCTTCTACAAATTCTAATTTGTTTTCTGTAGGGGCCATGCTATTCATACTGATGACGTTGAGTCAGAAAATCATGATCCTTAGCCATGAAATTCTTTATGAAGAATCATAATAATGAAAATGAAGTCACTGATGCATAAGTAATAAAATGTGAGGAAAGTTTTTAAATGATGAACAAAAACTGGCTTTTTAAGTACTAATCTACTTAATGTTAATTGGATAAACCCATTAGGTATTTGTATTGATTTTTCTTTTTTTAATTCCATCTTTCAGATGTTGTCTTCTTGTTTTGGGTGTGATTTTATATTTAAATTTTTCCTTATAATGTACATACAGTGCTTTGTCCAGTGTTTCTTTTTATAAGTTCATGAACTATTTCATAAACTGTTAGCACATAAAATTTCCATCCTATATAAGGTATTGTAAGTGTTCGTCTAAAATAAGTTCAGAATCAAAGGAATTTGACCTGTTGAACCAGAGTAAAAGCATCAAACCTTAGGATTTTTTAAGCTGGAAGGGAATTTAGTGATGATCTCATCATGCAGGGTTTTATAGTTAGAGAAAGTAAGATGTAGAGAAGTGGCTTGTTAATGGTCATAAGCTGAGTAGTGGCACAGTTAGCTCATTGTTTTCCCCGTCACATTCTGTTGCTGCCTGTAAATAAAAGCACCATTTTAAGAAGTATTGTTTTGTTAGAGGTAATAGTCATGGAGGACTGGTGGGGTTCTTCTCTGGTATGGTAAGACAGCCGTGCTTATTGAACTATACAATGCCTTTTACACATTACTTTACATATATATTACCTCATATGGTCCTTACAACAGCCGTGTAGGTGTTATAATCCCTGTAGAGATGAAGAAACTGAGACTCAGAAAAGATCAGTATCAAGAACTTACCCAGACAGCTTCTTAGAGCAGAGGTATTTATAAGCCGGTGTTGTCTGATCCTGTATTACTCTGTATTATAGCACAGTGTGACCTCCCAGACCAAGATAACTGAAAAGGAGAAGAGATTCTGAAAGAATATGTAGTGTAGATAAAATCATTATGTTAGGAAACTCAAATTCGGTATTTTCTGCTTTTGGCAGATTTGGGGAACTCCATAATCATTGCTTCTTGAACAAGCAGGCTTCTTTCTGAGTACCTACCATTTGAAAAGTGCTTGGTGGGAAAAGAGAAGTGTAAGACATGGAAGAAACATAAAATATTTCCCTTATTGTCAGCAAAAAAATCATAGGTACTTTAACAAGAACATATATTTTATGAATTCTATTTTCTAATTATAAAAATTAATATGTTAATTTTAGAAAATACAGAAAATAATAAAGAAGCAAACAGAAATTACCCATAATCTCTCCCTAAATGTGTCACCATGTGTGTTCCATTTTGGTGTGTTCTTTTGGTAAGAGTAATTATTACTCCTCAAAAAGTTAATGTGTATGCATAATGAAAATCTGTATTGTATGTGTGAATATAAATCCAAAACATACTCGTGGAGCTTCAGTGAAGAGTAGTTTGTTTTAAGGTAGAATGGAAGGACTGTGCCCCGTAGGAGCCCTGTAGGTAGATGGTGAGCAGAATAGACCTAATTCACAGTGCAGTGAAAGCCTGTGTTCACTCACACAGTTTCAGCCTACTGACTAACAGTGGTGCAGTACAAAATCGCATTCAGCATTCCCCGGAGTCTGAATCATCCACTGTGGAATGAGGATTGAAAACAGAACTGGTGCTCTGATACCAGAAAAGTCGGGACATCTGTGTTTCAACCATGGGACAGGTCTACTGTCAAATCTGGTCCAGATCCCCCACTCTGCCTGTTGTGAATCAGAATTTACGTTTCATTACCACTTGAGCAGTCTGTTCCCTGCTCTAAAATCACACAGCAAGTGAATAGAATTAGGCTGTAATTCTTTTTTTTTGTTCCTTCAGGTGAATCAATTCAGACAGCTGTATTCCAAAGTCATCAATGATAAACATGATGATGTCATGGCCAAGTTTGGCGCTATTCTGGCCCAGGGCATACTGGACGCAGGTAAATGTTTTTAAATCCTCCAAATTTATTTATCTCTTTAAACTAAATTTAATGAAATATTTGTTCTAACTATATGACAAAGTAGAAATTGAGTCTGAGACAAATTATTTCTGGAAAAAATTTGGAACCTGCAGTTCATAGAAATAATTTAGTACAGTTAAGTCTGCAAACTGTCAGGGTTTGAAGCCCAGTCCCTTTACAGTCCTAGCTATATTTCCCCTCTTTATGTCTGTTTTCTTGTCTTGTAGAGTCTACTTCATAGTGTTGGGAGGATTAAAAATACATGTAAAGCAATTAAAACCATCCCAGTACCTTAGTAAAGTGTTTGATGAGTGTTGGCTGATTTTTTTCCTTTAATTTTCTTAGTATGTATCAGTTTTAAACAAGTTGACATTGGAAATTTTTTGAGGAAAATAAGTTTTAGACAAATTCTAGCAGCCAAATCATCCTAAAATAAGGTACGTGCAATATTTGCCTAGTATGCATAGCACATTGTACTGGCTCATGAATTCACATTCGTCATTACTATGCTATGGTTTGTTTCAAAAGAAATGGGCTGACTTTTCAAGATAGAATGGTGTGTTTTAGGGCCTTGGACTTGGGGTTCATTTAGCAGCATACTCTTTAACTGTTTGTTATTATTGGTGATACTTCACTCAGTAGAGTAGAAGGGAGTGAGCATAATTAATTATTTAATTATCAAATAATTATTAAATTAAATTATTAAACTATTATTAAATTATTAAACTCTTTAATTATTCAAGTATGAGATTCTTTCTCTAACTGTACCCTAGTTGTGTATATAATATATGAATTATAACATAAAAGAATAAAAAAGAATATAATCTTTTTTATTAATCTTTGCTGATTTGAACGGTGAAAAGTAGTATCTCAAGGTTTTCATAGTAATTCTATTATTAGGTGAGCTCTCAAACTTATTAGTTATCTTAATTTCTTCTAATAACTGTTAACCATATTTACTACCACTATTTTATTGGTCAGCTAGAAATGTGTTTATATTTCTAGTGAATGAGATCAGGAAAAGAAGCTGAATGTTTTGATATCTTAGGTTTTTTTGGTTAACCTCTTCATATTTTCCACTTGGAGTATTTTTTAGTCATATCAAGATTTTCAGTGTCCTTATTTTATAATTTTAGGTAATCTCCTGTATAGATAAGGTTTTTTAAAAAATCTGTCTCCTTTCTAATTTGATTGTTTTACCTTTTTCTTGATTAAATTTATTAGATTTCTCTTTGTATTTGTTTATATGCTACTGTTAGTCTTTCTGCCCCCTAGATTCTTTTTTTTTTTTCTGTATTGTGGACCTCAGAGATCTAGCCGTGTTTTCATCGTTTAGGACTCTTCCCAAAACGACCATCATCATTGGTCTGCCCCCTAGATTCTTTGTTTTGGTTTGACTCTTATTTGCTTTTTTCTCTCTCTCTTTTTTTTTTTTTTTTTTTTTTTTTGTAATGTTAGTGCATAGTGCAATTGTCTAAGTTTCTAAGGCAAATACTCTTCTCTTTTAATCCATTTTATCTAGTGGTATTTGTTTTGTTTTAATTTTCCAAGAAGTTGAGAGTTTTATGCTTAAATTTTTAGTGTTTAAGGTACGGTTTATATTTTTCTCTTTTCAATTTAAAAATAGGTCATTGCAGCTGTATATAAATAAGGAAAATATTCTATGGATAGTTCAGATGAAGTAAACCATTTCAGTTCTTGATGGTATTGATTCTCTTTGTTCTGTGGTTATAAACATTACAGTCATTGACATGCCATAGTTTCTTCCTTCTCATTCTTTGCCACCTTTTTTTTTTGGAACATATGTCATTTGATTTTATAAATACTCATTGAGCCCTATGGTAGGCAAAATTCTAGGAGGACCCTAATGAACCATTACCCTTGTATTTGCTCCCCCTTTTTTTTTTTCATTTATTTTTATTAGTTGGAGGCTAATTACTTTACAATATTGTAGTGGTTTTGGTTGCAAAGAATTGGACACAACTGAGTGACTTTCACTTCACACTCTTCACAGCCTTCTTTATGGTCCAACTCTCACATCCATACATGACTACTGAAAAAACCATTGCTTTGACTATATGGACGTTTGATAACAAAGTGCTGTCTCTGCTTTTTAATACACTGTCTAAGTTTGTCATAGCTGTTCTCCCAAGGAGAAATGTCTCTTAAATTTGTGGTTGCAGTCACCATCCGCATTGATTTTGGAACCGAAGAAAATGAAATCTGACACTCTTTTGACATTTTCCACATCTATATGCCATGAAGTGATAGGATATGATGCCATGATCTTAGTTTTTTTGAATATTGAGTTTTAAGCCATCTTTTTCCTTCATCAAAAGGCTCTTTAGTTCTTCTTCACTTTCTGCCATTTAAGTGACATCATCTGCATATCTGAGGCTGTTGATATTTCTTCCAGCTATCTTGATTCCAACTTGTGATTCATTGTCATGGCTCATAACAAATACATTCTCTTGTGAAATTATAGTTCTCAGTTTAGTCTTAGATTCATATTTAAATGAATTCATTGCTTACCACCATTTCTTTTATGCTGCTTCTTTTTCCAGGGTGTCTATACTAAGACTTGACACTTAACTGACTGGATTTTGTCAGTCCCTAATATACATTCAGGTTCACTCTGTGCGTTTTGATAGATGCATAATGATATGTATCCACCATTACAGTATTATACAGAATAGTTTTACTGCCTTAAAAATCCTCTGTGCTCTACCTTTTCATCCCTCTCTCCCTCCTTCCTATCTCCAGTCCCCTAGCAGCCACTAATCTTTTTTGCTATGTCTTAGCTTTAGTGTTTCCTTTTCCAGAATGTTATACAGTTGGAATCATATAGTATGTAGCCTTTTCAGATTGACTATTTTTGGTAACTGGTTTTTAAATAGGATTTAGAAGTAACATTTTACCACTCCATAACCTTTTATATTTCGTGTTAGCTGCTGCTTTTTTAATTTTATGATTTTAGACTTCAACCCTTTACTCATTCATTCATTGGTTTTTACTAAATCAGAGTCATTTGTTAAGGCATTGGGGAGAGAGTAATTCTTTATTTTAGCTTTATTCTGCCATCTCTACTAGAAGTCCTCTGTGTTTTCCCTTCCTTCCTCTTTGAACCCCTCTCTCCTTCCGCCGCATTTTTTATGTCTATTTGATCTGTGATGACCCAATCAAGTTTTGTTGCTTCTTTCCATTTCTCTTTTTAGAGTTATTAAAAGTTCTATACTGCCATGTTCACTATTAGGAACATAAAATTATTTCCTTACCCTTTTTCACTTTGCTTTAGAAAAAAATTTAGTACTGTGATTTGTCTCAGAGGTTAATGGTAGTAGAGAAAATCCGGAGAGGGAAACTTCAAAGAAATGAGTGAAATTGAAGTTTATGAGAACTCACTCAATGATTTAGTCTCTTCATGGAGAAAAGCTGGAGATTAAGAAAGTTTATAGTTGAAGTTTATAAAACTGTGCAAATACTATCAATAAAATAAACTTTCCCTTGTTTTATATTAATCTCACACTGTTAGAACAAAAGGCAGGTTTAGTTTCTAAGTCTGACGAAGATAGATTTCATTGAAATAAAAGGAAATTCAGCTTCAAAACTTAGGTCAAATATTGCATTCTCTAGGAAGCCTTTCCTTCCCTTCTACCTTCTTCAGCCTCTGCCATGGGTTAGGTGGGCCTAGCTTTATGTCTGTCATAATACTTTTATGCCTTATTTTAATTATCGAATTATCCATCTTCACTAGATTGTAGCTGCTTAGAATCTTTTTCAGCATTTTGTTCAGAATTCTCAATCTGTAATAAGCATTCTGTGAATGTGGGGTCAGAATGGGGAGGAAAACAAGCCAACAGTAAAAGTAGAACTCATTCCTGTTGGAAAAATACACTTAAAGTATACCTGATTTTTTCTAGGTAAAATCATAAATGAAATATCTATAGAGGAGTACAGAAAAAGCTAACTTATTTGGTTGAACAGTAGAACCCTGATTCTTACAAAAAATTAAAATGATTTTTGGTTTAGTAAAGTTAGTGCTGATTCCAAGCAAAACGTGAAGGCATCTGTGAGATACTGAGATGAAGTGTAATCAAGCAATGGAGATCCACAATTGGAAAGTACAAAATTCGCATCCCAGAGTTCTGGGGTTCAACACTAACACTGTTACTATAGACCAGAGGCAGCAACACAGTAGTCCGTGGGCCATATCTGCCTTAAACACATGTTTTTGCCTGCTTAGCAAAATCTGCAAATGTTTGTCAGAAATCCAGATTCAAGTGTACTTTTAAAAACAAAATTACATGATGGCCATGGACCTACGCCCCGAGAACATGTCCTCTTTAAATATGATATGAACTTATCAGTTTGCTTCAATCATACTGCTTTCTCATTTGTTTACCTGACCAGTTCCTAAAGACATTCATGTTTGCAACCTCCAGAGCATCCTAGAATCTCAGCCTTATGAGGGCCTGTAAAGATGTAGCTAACTGACACTTGGACCTTAGTTCTTTTTTACTAGCTTTCAGACTGTATTTCTCTGTACTCCCTCAGGGGATAGTCTAGGAGACAAGGCAACTGGTAGATTAATAAGTAGGGTCAAGCCCAGAATCTCTTCTTATTTAATAGAATTAGCTCTGATTTGTTTTATATATTATGCTTCCTCCAAAAATTTTTTCAATCAAATCAAGGATTAGATATTAACATTTTTCTTTCATTCACAATAGTGCTCTAGTGCAGATGTTCAAGTTCAAACTCTCATTTTGCCAATGGGGCAAAAAAAACTTTCAGAGGTAAAATGATTTGTATATGATCACAATCCTAGTTAATCTCGGTGCTACCTGCATTCAGGCAATACTAAAGCTTTAGAAAGACAAAAATAAGCAAATAGTATCTACCTCTTGCCTTATGCTGTTGTTTACAAATATGATATGTACTCAAATTTTACTTTTTGTTTATACATTAAAAGCCAGTGTACAATATAGATTAATATTTAATTTAGCATACAAGTTCTGATGTCCTTCAGGCTTAGTTTTTTAAAAAATGCCTAGTATATGTTTGTGTGTGTATATATATGTGTGTGTGTGTGTGTGTGTGTGTGTATATACTCCTTTATATATATATATAAAGAAGTTCTCCATTACCCTGAGTCCAGCATTTCCTTTTGGAGACCCTTGATAGATCACTGGCTAATTCCAGTGACTTCATATTAGGTTTTATGAACTATACTCTCAAATTCATCACCAAATTCTTTTCTAGTGCAGTCCTTAGAAATTTCAGTTTGCTCTGCTAGATTCATGTTGGTGATTTCTGCCCTTTCCTGCAGGTGGACATAACGTCACGATCTCCTTGCAGTCCAGAACTGGGCACACCCATATGCCTTCTGTGGTCGGCGTCCTTGTCTTTACCCAGTTCTGGTTCTGGTTTCCTCTTTCGCACTTCCTGTCATTGGCTTATACCCCTACCTGTGTCATTGGCCTGAACAAAGACTTAAAGGTATGTTTGCAAGAGCTCAGTTTTATAGTATATCTTTACTATATCCTGTTCACCACCCACTCATGAGGATTTTCATGAAATTTTTAAAGATTAGTTGGCATCTTATTAATAAAATATTTCCCCTCAGACTGAGTCATCTGACTGAGAGGAGTGTGTTGGTGGAAGTTTTGAAAATTAAGTCTCTTTACTAACAGTGTAACCTTGGATAAATCAGTTAAGAAATGGTGAGGGAACAAAATATAAAAACATGAAAAGGCTTTATAATCATTGATGAATTTTACTTAATATTGAAGGTCTGTGAGAGCTGTTGTAGGATTTCATGCAGATAAATGACATGGTGAAATTTGCAGTTTAGAAACATCATTCTGGTATCAGTGAAAATTTTGTTACAATGCTGTTGCAACAGTCTAGGCAAGGGAGACCTTAACTAAATCTTACTAAGAAAGGAAGGGTAGAGACAGGAATATGTTCCACTGTTAATGTGATGCTAGAGTGTTTGCTGGAGGAAAGGATTGTTTACTAAAGGGAAAACAAAATAGGTGGATGCCCCTTTGGTAGTGACAAAACAGGACCACGGAGGTGCGGAGCCAGGGGCAATGACAGAGTGAAACTAGTCACATAAGTCAGAGGCTTAAGGTGATGCATTCCCTGTCATCACACTATTTTGAGGAGGAATGGGGGAGGGGGGGTCGTAGTTTCATTTGTGTCTTTCTCAGTGCTTTGGCCCAGTGATTCACTTTGTTGGTCTTCCATTCTCTCAGAGGCTTTCTGACCTTTAAATAACTCTTACATTTGGTCATCACTGTTGTTAAAACATTCTTTAAGTTTTTAGGGTGGAAAAATTTTAGGTAAAAAAAATGACGGGTAAAGATTGAGTGTCTCACTGATTGATTTTCTTCCCAGTATAGCTGTACAGCCAATCAGTTATTCTGTAAGTGTTTCAGTACTAACTACTCGTATGTATATTGAGCAGTTTGCTCTTAGAGCAAGAATCTTTTGGTTTCCCAGTCTCTAACATTGTGGTTAAACATACAGTGTAATCTTTAGGGACTTCTTCCTCTGGCATATAATGTTGTGATCTCTGTGTCCATTCCTTACAATGAAAGTGGGATGGGAAAGACAACTTGCTTGTCCTAGTAAGTGGTGCTTATTACCATTCCCTATCAATGCAAATTGGGTAAATAGAGAAAAATTCAGACTAGAGAACTTTAAACCTGGTCACCAAGTAATGCAAAGCCAACTTTTCCATTAGGCTCATGCTAGACTCTGTAGTGTAAGGAAGGGACATGGAAGTTAAGTGTGCAGATTAGATAATCAGATGACACTGCAAAAAAGGTAACAGTTGATCTGATGCTCACACCATGACTGGGACTTAACCCTCTGAAGCAGGGTGCATGGTAAAATGAAAAATGAAAGGGATGTCTGTTCAATTCACAGAGCTTCAAGAAAGTATAGGGAACCATAGTAGTTCTGTAGAGCACCTCAAAACTAACTCAGTGAAAGAAGACAGATGCCTATAATTAGCCTCCAACTAATAAAAATAAATGGGGGGAAAAAAAAAGACAGATGCCTCTAAGGGAAGTGTGGTAACATAATTGAATAGCTGTGTAATTTAACGTGAATTGAAACTTCTGACATCCCTTTGCATCTGTATGCTTATTTAGAGTATAGAAGCCTTAAACCTTGATTTTGATTATTTTAATAAAGGGGCGGAATTCTCTTATTTCTTCAGATGCCGAAAGTTCAATATAAATCAAACTGTAAACCATCAACATTTGCGTATCCTGCCCCTCTGGAAGTACCAAAAGAAAAAGAAAAGGAAAAGGTTGGTTCTTTGTTACTTTGAGCACCATTTGTATCTATATAGGAGCTGCTTAGTGTTTTACTTGGGTTTGTTTTAAATACGGTTATGTTTAAAGTAGATATTTTTAAAGTAATACTTCTTATGGTCAAATCCAGCATTATACAAGAGTATGGAGTGAAAGCCCTTTTCTCTCCTGGTCATCCAGGTCCCATGTTTCAGGAGTCACAATTTGGGAATCCTCCAAATGTTTTTTCTGCACACGTCAATACTTGTTATACCGCAAATCGTGTTTTCTACATACTGTTCTGCATCTTACTGTTTCCATTTTAACGGTTCTTTTAATGTGTATTGATCTCGTTTTTTCCAAAGCTGCAGAGCAATCCCTTTGTGTGTATATTGTTTTACCAGTTCCTTGTCTGATAGACATTTAAGGTTATTTCTGATTTGTCACTGTTACAGGTGAGACTGGGATAGAGTTTTTATACATGTGTATTGTGCACTTGTACAAGTGTATCCGTAAGTTAGGATCTTAGATGGGGAATTGCTTGATCAAAAGTAATGCACATTGTTAATTTTTATAAGTATTAACTGAATTTCCTTTCAAAATGTATATAACCTATTTATACTCCTCCCAATGAGTATAAAGATACTCATTGACGTGTGTTAAGTTAAACTGTGGTAAAATTGAGAGCTGTGCTTGTCCCTGTAGTTTTCTCAGTAAAATTATCCTTTATGACACTTCAGGTTTAAGAAAATGACTTTTTCTCTTAAGAGAATATTCTGTATTAGCCAGTTGATTGTTTGCTGTAAATGTTATGGTTAAGTAGGGATAATTACATAATTGACAAAATTTCCAGGTAGTAGGTGATAGTGTCCTTTGATAATAGCATCTTGTTCATCAGCTATGTATCTTATTCGTCAGCTGTGTTTCAGAGTGCGCCCCCTCCCCCACCTTTGAGTCTAAAACAAAGGCAGCTTTACACAATTACTACCTAGCCTTTCAAGGTCCCTGTTTCACCTCTGGTTACAGTGAGACCCATCAAGGATGATAATTCCAAGTTAACCACTTACCCACTGTGGGTTACCATTGTAGGGCATCTAGTCCAGTGAGAGAGCTTTACAACCAGGTTTGGAGAAAATTTTTGTTTTCCAGTGCTTTCCCTATAAAGTAAAAAAGGATGTGGCACCCAAATCTCTGTCTCAGAAACTTATTGTAGCAAATTAACATCCAAGGTATACTACAGATTAAAAAAAAATTTAGAGCGATATTGGATATAAGCCTCTAGCAACTAAAGATTTACCTGATGACTGTAACAGTAAGTTATCCTTATATTCCCAGATTGTTTTGTTCTTTTCGATTCTTTACTACCAGGAAACAATAGCATTGTAGAACGGAATTCTCACTGGGCTTGTACATCTGTGTGTAAGTAAAAGTTGTCAGTTGCTCAATTGTTGTGACCCTGTAGACTGTAGCCTGCCAGACTCTTCTATCCATGGCATTCTCCAGGCAGGAATACTGGAATGGGTTGTCATTCCCTTCTCCATGGAATCTTTCGGACCCAGGGATTGAACCTGGGTCTTCTGCATTGCAGGCAGATTCTTGACCCTCTGAAGCACTAGGAAAGCCCATGTAAGTACTATAACAGTTTACTCTGTTCACTCCTCTAGGTTTCCACTGCTGTGTTATCTATAACTGCTAAGGCTAAAAAGAAGGAAAAAGAAAAGGAAAAAAAGGAAGAGGAGAAAATGGAAGTGGTGGGTATAACTTTCTGGTGATATGGGTTGATGTAGCTATCTCTGTCATGGTCCAGATTCTTCCTTAGTTGAACATTCTTATACCTTGCTCTTGACTTCCTTTAAATAATTATCCTGTTCCAAGCATGAAACTCATAAAATTTTAATTGAAAGAGACTTTAGAAATTAAACTCATTCATGGGAATACTAGTAGGGTACAAATCAAGAATGAGTTCTTGGAAGGAATGACAACTAAAATGGGTTTTGAAGGGCAGAGTAGGGTTTTCATCAGACCGTGCGGTGATGGTAGGAGAAAGAAAAGCCCTTTCAGGCAAAGGCAACATCATTTATTTAAATATCTCTACTAATGTAAAAACCTTCTTACCCTTTTCAATTAAGTTAAATATCACTCTCACCCCCAAGCAGTTACCATCTCTCTCTTCTGAGTCTGGTATCATTTTGGTTCTACTTCCATTATATCTAATCCTAACTACCTTTTGCACCTGATAGTTGCTCAGTAAATTTATTAAACAGTGCTGTAGAACAGAAATGAACCTTTATGGGATTATATATATTTTTTCCCCCTGTAGGATGAGGCAGAGAAAAAGGAAGAAAAAGAGAAGAAAAAAGAACCTGAGCCAAACTTCCAGTTATTGGATAACCCAGCCCGAGTTATGCCTGCCCAGCTTAAGGTCCTAAGCATGCTGGAGACCTGTAGATACCAGCCTTTCAAACCAGTAAGTTACTAATGGCCCTTAGTTATATACCAGTAGGATATTAATCTATAAGGCAATGGAATCTTTATAGAGAAGGATAAATTGCCCAAGTGTTGGAAACAGCTCTCTAGTATAAGTCTCTTAACAAAAGCAAACATTCCCTTCCATTCATACAGATTCGAATTCTTGACTTTTGTGTAACCATTCATCTACCAAAGGTTTACATCATAGAGTTACTAACACAGCATAGTGATTAGGACCATGGACTCTGGAGCTGGACATCCTGAGTTTAAATCCTGATTCTACCACTTTCAGCCTGTGTGACCTTAAGCCAAGAACTAATCCTCTCTCCATCAGTTTTTACTGCTAGAAAATAAGAATTATCATCCCTACCTCACGAGAATGTGATTGAACAACGTAATATACAAGCATATACAGTAAATACACAAGCACATGAGTGTTCTGTTTTACAATTAGAAAAGGATCTTCATGCCACTTAATTTATTATAGGGCAGAAAGTTTCATGTTAGGAACAAACGCTGATCAGAAATTTGAGCATGGTAATGTCTTTCTTTTCTGAGTTCTTGTATCTTGCAAACTGGAGAACCATTAGTAGACACACTTAGTACATTCAAATCGTGGACCAGTGTGAAATGTCATAGATAAGATTTCTAGATCCTTCTGGAAAAGTAAACCCATTCTCATCAGCTTGAAGGTGGTCCCTGCTGGTGGTGACAACTCTTACTCACAATTGTGAGTCAGGGTCTTACCCAACTAGATTATCAGGAAACAAGGGCAGAGGATGGAAGATAGCTGTATTTAATGGAAGAGCTGGAATTGGGTGGAACTGAGTTTATGTTGCAGCTCTGCCATGTCTTAGCTGTGTGACTGAGACAGCTCATTTAATTGCTTCATGTTTGTTTCCTCATCTAATAATTGGAATGGTGATACTACCTACCACTCAGGAATATTGTTAAGATTAAATAGGTTATTATGTGTGAAATGCCTAAATCAGTATCTGTAAATGGTAAATCCTCAGTCAGTAGCTATTACTTGGTGATGGTGACAAGTCATCAGACATCTGTGGGTAGCAGGCAGTCAGGCCAGGAAGGATAGAATAGTTTGAAGGTCTTCTCCCACCTCCTATTAACCTTGCGTTACTGGGACCCAATACTACTTGGCCTGTAGTGTTGAGTGAATGAATTGGTAGAACCACCAGTGGAGAACGGAATGGCAACCCACTCCAGTATTCTTGCCTGGAAAATCCCATGGACAAAGGAGAGCCTAGTGGGCTACAGTCCGTGGGGTTGCAAAGATCGGACACAACTGAGCGACTTTCACTCACTCACCAGTGGACACATTATATTAGTCACTGTCTAATCTGCAACCCAGCTCACCTAAGTGACATGTTTCTAGAAAATACATTCTAACAGCATGCTTTCGAAACTGCTCTTGCCAGAACAGCTGTATTAGTACACAACCAGTGGGCAGTTTAAGCGCACATAAGACACCCAGTGATTTTGACAGTTATGAAGAACTAAAGACAACAAAGTATATGCTCAGTGTCTTGACACCATATGAGGAGGCTGATTTGCCTCAGCTGGAACTTAAATGATTGTTAAACCTTTGTTCAAGTCAGACGAAGCTGTAACAGTTGTTCACTTATGAGCCAAAATATATTTCCTATGTCTTTGCCTAGCTGGCTGTTGAAGGTATGTCCCCAATCGTACACATAGCCCCTCAGCAAAGACTGGGAGACTTATTCTTCCAAGTATTTAAGGAACTCCTTCACTAATTATTAGCTGTCTGGTCAGATAACTGAGAGATTTCAGTGGTCACATACAACAAAAATACTTTCTAGAAAAGTCACAAAACATAACTTTTTTTTTAATGGGCAAAGGAGTTGAATAGGCTTTTCCTCTAAAGAAGATTTACAAATGGCCAAAGGCACATGAAGAATCTCAACATCATTCATCATAAGGGAAATGTAAATCAAAACCACAAGGAGATGCTTCATCATACCTACTAGTATACCTGTAATCAAAAAGACAGTAAATTTTAGATTAAAGTTAGCAAGGATGTGGGGAAATTGGAACCCTCAGATGGCAGTGGTATAGGAGTGTTGAGCGTTGTTGTGGAAACCAATTTGACAGTTCCTTGAAAAGTAAATGCGGGTGTGTCATATGACCCAGCAATTCCACTCCTTGGTATATGCCCAATAAATGAAAGCCATGTCCACACAAACACTTGTACACTGATGTTTATATCAGCTTTACACATAATAGCCAAAAGGTATAAACAACTCAGATGTCCATCAAGTGGTAGATGAATAAATAAAAATGATATGCACAATGGAATTTTATTCATCCAAAAGAAATGACATAGTGATATATACTACACCGTGTTTGAACCTAAAAACATTATCCTAAGTGACAAAAACCAGACACAGAAGACCACATGTTGTATGATTCTGTTTATTCGAGATGTCCAAAACAGACAAATCCATAGAAACAGAAGTTGTTTTAATGGTTGCAAGGGCTGGAAGTAGGGAAAAATGAAGAATGACTGCTGATAGATGCAGAATTTCTTTTAGATTGAACATTCACCAGAATGTGCTCTTGAATTAGATAGTGGAGGTGGTTGCATGACTTTGTGAATATACTTTTAAAAAAAAAACAACACTGAATTGTGTACTTTAAAAGAGTTAATTTATGTTCTGTGAATTATATCTCAGTTTTGGATAAAAGACTGCCTCTGTATGTTTGTGGTGAGGAAAGGAGTACCCCCTGACTCATCTCCTCTAGTACCCTGCTGGCAGGGTCATCAGGTCCTTCCTCAGACATTGCATTTAGTCTTGAAAATGTGTTGCATTCCTACTGTTTCCTGTCCATCTTAAAAGACGCCTTACAGAGTGTGGAGCTTTTGGAAGCAGGAAATGTCCCATTGCCTCTGTCTTCAGTTGTCACTAGCCTTCTCAGAAAACAGACTGTCATATATCTTATTGTCTGCTTAGAGAGTGTGTGAACTCTCTAACATATAAGGCATTAATAAATCTAAACCATGTAGGTATAAAAAGCTCTTCCTGTATATTGGTTATACTACAGGATTTGGGCTGGAGCATTCCAGTTAAGCACGAAATAGTACTGTTACAACCTAGAGCCGTATATTTCCAAAATGCAGGAAGTTCTTTGTTGAATCTCCCTTGGTCCTGTAGAGGTTCGTACACACTTTTAGACCATGGAGTATTAAGACAGTGGCCAAGTAACTCTGTTCTTGGGTGAATATTGATAGTAAAGTCAGGGACAATTCATAAAATGGCTTTTTTTTTTTTTTTTTTCAAGAAAAGCAAACTTTCTAAGGGAAAGGGTTATAGGTTAATATGTATGGATATGTGTGTATTGAGATGGGGGAAACAGTTTAGAAATTCATGCAGGCACAACAGTTTTATAGCATGGCAGAGCAGGGTTCTGATGGGTAAAAATTAGATTAGGTTGAACCGCAGAGATGCTTATACATATGTGAATCATTTGACTAATGTGCTTGGGCTTCTTTTCCTTCCCAGTAATATGCTTTGGTAGAAATGTGTTTTTTCCAGATGTGCCCTCCACTGTTGACTGATTTAATTACAGAGAGCAGCTTTCCATTTCCTTTGACACAGGCAAGCAAATAGAATAAGATTGGTACACCAGAGATGGGCAAACAGTTTGGCGCTTGAATTTACCTTTCACTAATATGTTTGGGAGAGGGCTTAATAGAATTGCTTCTACATTCTACTTCCCTTTTATTTCCCATCTAGTTTTTCACTGTCTTGCATCACAATGATTTGTAGATTAAAGTGAAAAACACTCCGATATTTGTGATATTTATATTCTGTCATTCTAAAATTTCTGGAGAAAAATACCCTTTTCATTTGTAAATTGTCTTTTGTGTCCAAAATAATGCTTTTCACACAAATGATAAAAAGATCTATTAGATTGTGTGTCTTAAACTTTAGCATGCATAAAATCACCTGAGGATCTTGTTAAAACACAGATTCAGAATTCTAAAGTAGGACTAAGTTTTCTGCATTTCTAACAAGCTCTGACGTGATACTGCTACTGGCCCAGGACCACATGTGGAGTAGCACAGCATTAGACTGCCTCGTTGGATAGTAAACATTTTCCCTGCAGTCCAGCTAAGGCCAGTACAGTACTAGGTAATGCTTCTTAAATCGGGATGCATCGTCCAAGCAGAGCAACACCACGTGTTCCACCCCCCAGAGCCACTGGGTTAAATTTGCAGATACTCCTATAGCTGACAGTTATCTTAATCCTTTGTTATGTACTTTGGCAGTGCTGTCCACGTTCAGTCCTCAGACTAACCTGAAGGAATAGATGAGGAAGATATTATTAGCCCCTTCTTACGGTTGAACAGTTAAGTTACTGGTGTAGCAGCACACAGGGGCAAATGCCAAGTTTCCTGACTGTCATCTCGGAGAGCATAGTTCTAGTTTTCTACTTCCAAATCATTCTCGTTCTCTTGGGGTACCATTTAACAAGTATGCAATCAAGATTGTGGAGCATTCTGGAAATATGAGTGGAGCTTGAGCATCTTCATTCCTTGCTCTGTTCAATAGTTGTCCATTGGAGGCATTATCATTCTGAAGGATACCAGTGAAGACATTGAAGAGCTGGTGGAACCCGTGGCAGCTCATGGCCCAAAAATAGAGGAGGAAGAACAAGAGCCAGAACCCCCAGAACCATTTGAGTATATTGATGACTAAGGACCAGAGGTACGTGTGGAGCAAAATTGTGTGCTGCGAGAAGTCTCTCTGTTGATTCTTCACAAGTGTTTTTACAAGGACGTGGTCTCACTTCCCCTTTCCCCCCTTTCCCCTATTTATGTAAATGACATTAAAACTCCTCTTTATTTGACCTCTTCCTGAATATGTAACCACCAATTCCTTTTTCTTTTTTTGTTGATTCTCTCCCCTAGTCTAGTGTTCTGCCAGTCCTATTCAAAGTGGCTGGACTGCAAACTGTTTTCATAGGTCCCTGAGGAAGGGGCTTGCTCCAGAATGTAACTCAGTGCTTCGTTCATCAGAAAGCCTTGCTATCCCCTAACCCCCCAAAAATCAGCTGAACTGACAGACTGCTCGGTAATGGAGTTGATTTCCATTCTGATGTAAGCTCCTTCTTGGGGATCAGTTATAGTTTGTGGACTGGCACTGTTCTGTAGATCACACTTTGAGTGGCACAGGTCTGAATTCCTCATGATTCTTCTCTCTTTCCTTTGGTAATACTTATGGCTGTAAAAGCCTTACCATTCATTTATTCAGTGAGGCTATTGAACATCTAATATGTATAAGACAATAGTTCTTATAGGTACTTGTGGTCAGTTAGACTGTAAACAAAGCTTTGTCAAGTTGAAAAGGATATTTATTATGCCAGTTTCCTAACCATGTTGAAGGGGATTTTTAGGTGCAAAAGATTGCAGTTTCACAAAATTGTCATTCTACTCCTCTTTTTTTCAAATGGGTATTACATATTTGAAGATGCAATTCCCTGGTGGCTCAGATGATTAAAAAATCCACCTGCAGTGCAGAAGACCTAGGTTCAGTCCCTGGGTTGGGAAGATCCCCTGGAGGAGGGCATGGCAACCCACTCCAGTGTTCTTGCCTGGAGAATCCCTATGGGCAGAGGAGCCTGGAGGGCTACAGTCCATGGGGTCACAAAGAGTCAGACACGACTGAGCGACTAAGCACACACAAACTGTATAATCAAGGTTCTCTAATCCCACCATAATACAAATAGGTTGTAAAACAAATGTGAATTTTACTCTTCAAAGAAGATAAGAATAGTATCGTTATGACAACGAAAAAATACATTTTAAATGTCAGATTGCAGATCTAGCTCCATAAGTAACAATTAATTAAAGCTTTCTAAGATAAATAATTAAGGCAGAAACCCTGCTCTTAGTAGCAACATATAGTCAGACCTCCACGAGACAGTTTGCAGATTTATAATTTCCCTTCCTGCTTTTGAAAATTACCTTTTAGCTCTTGATGGTTCCCTAAGCTTTACCCAACCACACACAGCAGTATTAATACCCTGAGCTCTCAGTTTGTGTGCGGAACTGGGCTCACATTAGTCCCTGGCAGCCTTTCATCAGGGCCATGAACTACCAGATGGCGTAGAAATTTTCAGTTGGAAATTGGATTCTTGTTAGTTTTTAAAAGGGCAAAACATTCAGTCCAATAAGAATTTGAAAGCTATAGTCTGTCTTAGTACAAACTGGCATATTAGGACTGTATCAGCAGGATTAGGGGCCCATTTTGTTTTGTTTTCTTTTGTTATGTCTTGGCTGCACCAGGCCACATGTCCTATCCTAGTTCCCAGACCAGGGATCAAACTTGTGCCCCCTGTGGTGGAAGTGTGAAGTCTTAACCATTGGACTGCCAGGAAAGTCCCTAGGGGCTAGTTTTAAACTTCAACATCTAGTGTCTTGTGGAGCGGGGGGTTGGGGGGGGTGGTTATGTTTTTAAAATTAAGAGTAACCCTAGCGTCTCTCTCTCCCCCCTACCCCCAGGATCTTATTGCTCACCTAAAGAAGATTGCCCAGGCTCATACTGGAAAGGCCTGTGAGGAAATTCATGCTGAGACCTGCTCTTCACTGCATGTATCATTGCCTCTGTGCTGACCTTGTCTGCAAGTCTTTGATTGAAGAGATGGTATATGACTAGTGTTCTCTTTCACACAACTTGGTTTTCAAATAAATATATTAAGACCTTCAGATGGACAAGGACTTCTTGTTTGTTTTTCAGCCGGATTGTAAATAAATGGATCGAATACTATTCTCCCCACCATGAAACGCCTAAATCCAAAGAGCTGAATCTGATTCCTGGGATGAGTAGGCATGACTTTAATATCGGTGAAGGTGTTAAACTATTTTATAAATTATTTGAAAAATAATGGGGGAAAAATATGAAAAGCAACCACCCTTATTACTCCAAGAATTCTCTGCATTTTTATTAATGGGACTGAGGGTGTAGGGTGCTGTTCAGTTACAGAGGAAGTCCCTTTAATGATCCAAGGGAAATGAAGTCTATTTAGGCAGCTCAGAAGCTTTTTATTTTTAATAAGCTTTACTTCTTGTTTCCTGCTTTTGACCCTGTTATGGACAGTAAGTATAAATTATTTCAATTTAGCCACAAGACCTAATTGTGTACCCTTTTTTTCTTCTTTCCTAACTTTTTTCCCATGTTTCTTTTTTAAGTTGAGATATAATTTAAATGTAATAAAAAAAAATGCAGACATTTGGCTCTATAGGGTTTTTTGTGCCTTGGCCTTCAACCATTAAAGTAGGTAGTTTCCAACATTTATATGTGAATGGTTCTTTACTCCAGCCTTGATCCTTTCACTTTGTAATTTAAGATGTAGCCTCCTACATCTAAAAAAAAGAAAATTGATCTTAGTAGAGGACACTAACTCCTGGATAGACCAGCAGTGTCCATTCATCACCGCAGCTTTACTGTCAGGTCTCGGTCTCAAGATTACTGATCCCAAAGGATGGCTCCACTCGCTGGTTAATTTCATTGTTTCCCTCCTTTTTAAATTCCTTGTTTCCTCAATATCAGATATTTCTATAAAAGAGATTATCTCATTTCCTATCCTCTCATTAGCTATATCCTTCCTCTTCAAGCTCTTAACTTTGCTTGCATTTCAGACAGTTTATCTCTAACATTTCCCATAATATATGAAATGTTTAAAAAAACAGAATTCTCTCAGTGATGTCACTGTCCAAAATTGAGTAGTCTGGGAAAAGTGGTACAGTCACTGGTCTCTTGCCAAAGTTAATAAATTCTTTCTAAAATAGTGGGTTGCTCTCTGAAGGAGCAGTCAGCACCAGTTCCTGGTAAGCAGTGCTGTTTAGAATTTGTATCTTTGTCTTAAGGTTACAGCTTTTAAAAATGCAAGCTGTTGAGATAAAACGTCTACTTGAGCCAGACTATAATGAGATGGTATCTCTTTTCCTGATTTCCACCCCCCCTCCCCCAGATTTCCTAAGATACTCATAGCATTGAGATAACTAAGGTGCAGAGAAATCTAAAGTGAAATAGAATAGAGTGAAACAAGGTCCTGTATGAAGACGGACAGGAGCTAGAATTGACACATTCAATAGAAGAAACAGAAGGGAGAGTGGCAGTGGTTAACTCTGGGGTGATGTTCGTGTGCACATTGATTCAGAGTTGAAGGCAAGTGGGTGCACATCAAGCCACTCTCTGGGCCTCCCCACTTGGGCTGCCTCACAGGCACCAAAACCCATGTAAGCAAAGCACGTCCAGCCTCTTCTCCCCCTTGAGGGGCATGGGAACCCCTCCATCTAGTGATCCAACCAGAAACTCAGAAAGGCTTCACCCTTGACTCACATTTACCCTCTCAAACATCCCTCCACTTCACCTACCCTCCTTCCCCACTGTTCACTACCCTTCGTTCAAGTACTTACCTGTCTGTCTGCCTCCAGACTTGCCCGGTATTTCCCCTTCTGTCCTCATTTACTGGCTCCACATTTGTCTTGCTTACTGTTACAACCCTAGCACACAATGTATGATCATATATCCTTGGACTCTAATGGTGAGAGCTACAACTGAGCACCAAGAGAACAGCTGAGACAACCCCTGAGCACAAGGGAGGAGACTTAATTCACACGTCCTCTCGTATCTCCTGCAGTGACTAAACTTACTAAGAACTGTTTTTCAGGTAGTTTTACACTTGAAGAACCTTGGCTTTTCTTTATGTATACATGTAAGATGATGTGTCTGAAGTCTCTAACTGTCCTGAGGTGGTGATAAGTGAGCTTGGGCAAAGAAGCTTTCATGACTTTGTCTCAGTCCTCTCCCCAGTCTCCTCATTATCCTCATCATAGAGACGACACTTCAGCTTTTCACAGAAAATCCCTTAGAAGGTCCTAAGCTTTATTGTTTCTAGCACTCAAGTTTTTTTTTCCACCCTCATTTTTTACAGCGACGAGCTGGAAGGGAGGGCCCTATCCAAACCAAACTGCGTAATGGGGAGACGGTAGACTCTGACTTCAGACTTTGGTTCAGATCCAGATCTCGTCCTTTAATGGTTTCTTCATTTGTACAGAGGAAATACTGTTTACCTCAAGGTTGTGGGGATTAGATGATAATGGCTAATTATTAAGTGCTTACTACATGCTAGATATCAAGAAATCACATATATGACTTATGCTTCAAAACCACCTTGTGAGGTAGATGCTATTATGTTGAGATTATCTAGGTTAAAGAACCTAGCTCTAAGCAGGTATTCACTAATTTTTAGTTGAATCAGAATGGTGTGGTCTAACCCCTCATTTCACACACATGAAGACACTCAAAAGAGGGAAGCTGACATCAAGCGCCATTTTTACAGTTGTGTTTCCTGTTCATCTTTGCATGAAGCAGGCTCTCTGGCCTATTTGTTTTATGAGCTTGTTTGATCCAAAGGCAGCAGACCTCCTAATAGCCATTTCTCTGCTCATTCTGCATCTGTACTCTGCTCCAAGTCTGTGTCTTCTTCCATTCTCCTAAACCAATGTGCCTTTTAAGAAAGAGATTGTCAACAAAAGCATTATTTCCAGATAGCCATTGCCTCTACATCACAGCCCACTGTTGATGGGCATTTCCCATCTGTTTGCTGGGATCTGGGCAGTCCTTTGGTGGTGCATGTGTTCAGCGATTGTCAAGTCAGTGAGTTATTTATGTATAATAAAATTGCATCCAGC